ATAGAAATGAATAATTCAGTAGATGAACTAGAAGATTCATGTAGTTCTTCTACTGAGTCTCACAAATGGAAAAGTGTGGACAAGCTGGAGAAAATACCTATTAGTCTCTTAGTCACGGGATCCCAACAAGTTTATGATGTCTGTCTAGAAATAATGATGAGTAGGAAATGATTTTTAACATTTTCAGGAATATTTCTCAAAGTTCACAGATAACAAATTACATTTTGAATGGCCTAATCAAATTCTTGCTACAGCAGATAAAAACAGACCCACACTGTGACACATCACAGTGGAATTTCAGAAAGAGGGTGGAAGAGACCTTGAAACCTTCAAGAGGCAGGAAATCTGGGCATGGAGACTAGAAGATGTTCAAGTAATGCCTCCCACTTTCTGCAGAAAAAAATATTTCCAACACAGAATTCTATATCCAGTCAAGATATGAATAAGGGCTAGGGTAGCCTACAGTTCCTTTGTGTATTTAGAGTTTTAATAGTTAACTTCTCACATTGTCTTTGGGAAATACTACCAGACAAAGTGGAGAAAATGAGGTAGTAAACAAAAAAAAGAGGGACATGTAGGATCTAGGTGACAGGGGATCCAGAACAGGAGAGGCCATGGTTCCTTGAGGTGAGGTGAAGGACATCCAGTGTGTCCACCCAACTCCATGTGTGCAGGGACCCAGTCCACCTGTGGCAGGACCAAGGGCTGTGGACAGGTGTCTGCAGAGATGAAAGTGGTTGAATATCTGGTGTGTTCAAATACATACTCATGAAGATTTAGACTCTGGGGAGAGCAGTGGAATGAATGTGTGAACCAGACAGAATGGCCCCATGGCTGAATTAGGACCAGAAGCAATGACCAACAACCCCCTACCCTAGTGCTGACCAATCAATGGAAACCTCGAGCCTATGTTCTTTAGTGCCTTCTACAACCCATACCCTAGTGGCATTGGGAAATCAACTCACCTGTAACTCAGTGTTTTTGTCCACCTTGTTAAATCAACTTTTCCTTCCCTTTTTAGCTTTTTTAATCCTCACTGTAGGACTTTTTTTTTTCATTGCTTTCAAAGAGAGAGGAAGGGAGCAAGAGAAACATTGATGTGAGAGAGAAACATTGATATTTCCAAATATGAAGCACACTGTTGAATTACTGCAGAATGTATTGTCTTGTTCATAATTTTATTTTTTAAAAAGTCATATTTAATGATTTTCATCCCATGCACCCATTCAGGCACACTTGGAAATTAATGAGACTTCATCTCACTCCAAATTCTTTTTCCTTCCCTGCTGCCTTGGGATAAGAGGGTTCAGAGAGGTTCAAGTTTCCATTCAATTAGAGAGACGGAAATGTGAGTGACACTCACACAGTAACCACACAGGAGGGTGACAATGTCCCAGTAGAAATTCCTAAGAGGCTGGCACCTCCTGTAGGGGGATTTGAAACAGGACAAGTGCATGTGTGGGGGTCACTGAAGGGCAGACACTTCTCTGTGCCTTCTGTCTGTAGCTGTGTGTGTGTCTGTCATTGGATCTCATTTTACGACCCAGGATTTTTAAGTCACAGCCGAATACTGCATGGCAATTCACACTCTTGTTCTCACACCCAACTTTAAACCTGGGAGGTCTCAGAAAAGTGGAATTTTGTACAGGGTGGAGGAGCTCCATGGCTCCTGCCATACAAGGCTGTACCCAGGTTGCAAGGGACCAACCCCTTTCCCTCACTGAAGGGGACTCCAGGGCATAGGGACCTGCAGGGACCCTCCTGAGTCTGGCCTCACTTGAAACACCCCCAGCACTTTCCCATCTTCCACCTGCCCAGCCCAGGCAGGAGGTACAGCTCAGGACCAGGCAGGCTCAGCACAGTCCCACCCAGGGTGCTGCCCACACACAGGTCCCACCCAGTTCCTCCTGGGCTGACCCCTTCTAGTTCTGCCCTGAGAATCAATGCAAGGGAGCCTTTATTTGGCTGGTCTGAGCTCCACAGCTCTGTGCAGGGATCAGTCAGGCAGGGCAGCTTCTGAGCCCAGTTACAGGGACAGAGTGTGTGGTCCTGACCTCCCCACACAGATGCCACTATCATGTCATCTGTTCTGTCAGTGACATCATCTGTGTGGGGAGCCTGGGGCATCTCTAACTTACAGCAAACTTGTCTCATGCAGATCCCCCTCAGGTACGTCTGGTGACTAGGGATAGTGATGGCCATTACTGAGACGCCCTCAGGAGCAGTGGGCAGGAGCCAGAGAAAGTGTCCCCTGTTCCCTGGGGAGGAGCTGAGCTTAGAGTCACATGTCATTGGGGTGCATGAGAATCTGGGCCAAGAGTTCCCTTCATGGTGTTTCTCGCTGGGCAGGTTCCTTCAGCTCCTTCTCTTGTCCAAACTCTGTCCTGGAGTACCTCATACTGGTCAACTTAGCACTTTTTTTAAAACTTAAAACAATTATTTTATTTTTTTCTCTATTTTTCCCATCACCATCTATCCTCTTCTCACATCCTACCCCCTCCCCCACGCAATTACCACACTGTCTGTGTCCATGAGTTAATTTTTAAAAATTTTTCAATTACACTTAACATACAATATTGTATTAGTTGCAGCTGTAAAACAGAAAGATTAAACATATATATGTATATATATATATCTTATTAAATAAAATCTTCAATGTATTTAGTACCCATCTGACACCATACATAGTCACAGCAATATTACTTCCTACTTTCCCTGTGTTGTACTCTACACCCTACTCATAAGTGTCCAGGGCTGACACAGGACAACGACCATATTTTCCTTGACTTGGGCAGAAGTTACAAGAAGAGCTAAGGAGGGTGAGTATAGAAGTGGTGAAGAGCACATTAGGACAATCTTAGAGTATCTCCCCGTAAATACCTAATGAATGACAGTCACTAAATGGTGAGTGTATGATGGGGAGATCTGACTGCCACCAACCTGGGTGAGTCACCAAGAAGAATGTCCCCGCTGTGGAACAGGGAGGTGTAGTATCCAGTCCTTGTCTGGTAATCTTCCACAGTCCCTGCTCCCTTGGTGGCCTCATCCACCCTCACAGATTTAAATGTTATTTGTGTAGCATCACCTCCAAACCTATGTCTCCAGCCCAGAAATTTCTCCTCAAGGTCCCCACACTCATCTGTCCAATCTGACACCTCACTGGTGTTTCTAACACACATCTCACTTTGACCTTCTCTTCAGCTGAATGCTTGAAATGCCCACCCCTCCCCACACATGCTCCTGCCAGAGTCTTCCCCCTCTCTGCTGGCGTAACCCCATCTTTCTGCTGGCACAGTACAAAGGTGGGGTGCCCTACTTGACTCCTTTCCCACACCCCAGATTGAATCCTTAGGAAATACTGTGAAATCCATCTTCCAAATGCATTCAGTGTCCAGTCCCTTCCCACTGTTTCCACCACTTAGAGCCCCATCAAAACACCCAGCATGTGCAGCCTAGAACCATGGGAGCCTCCCCACACCTTTCCCTCCTGCCTCACTGGTCCCTTGTCTCCTGATTCTGTTCTCAGCTCAGTAGCCAGACTGACTCTGTGGCCCGAGGGCTCTCGCTTGGGGAGGAACTCTCAGAGGAAGCCACTAAAGGACGTGGGCTTCTTGGCCATGACCTTCCAGGACTCAGTATCTGCAGAATGAGAGCAGTGTCTGCAGTGGGTTAAGGACAGTGGACCCTGGAACAGTTTCTGCTGTAAGCAGGTGTTCTTCACCTTCTGATTGGTCAGCTCTCTGAACCCCTACACTGATACCTCTGAGGTCTACATGAGGGAGGCCTGGAAGCTTCGGATGACTCCTAGGCAACAAAGCAGCATTCTGGTAGAATCAGGGGACTCAACCAGCCACAGACAGAGGCTTCAAAAGGTCACATTCGGGAGTGCAGGGAGAAACCCTGAATTGGGCATGGAGCACAGGTGGTCACAGGGAACATCACTGGGGAGCTGTGTGGTCCCCTTGTACCATGGCACACAGTCTGTCCCTCCTGGGTTGTCTCCACACCTCATGGTAAGTGTATGAAGTTAAAGTGACTTGAAATGGCTTAATATATGGGCGAACGTGTAGATAGAGTAATACTTACTGGTAACCACTTACCTTGGAGCTTTTAATCTAAATCACTTCTGATATATATGGCTAATTTTAAAATAAACATTTCTGTAACAAATGAAATAAAATGAAAGGGCAGTCCTACCACACCTGTCTTTGCTCAAAACTGTGTCAGTCAAGCTCAAAACTCTTCCAACCTTCCCCAGGTCTGCAAGATGTGGCTGGAATCTGACTCCTCCCAATGACTCTGCTGCAGCTACACTGGCCTCCCCGCTGTTCCAAAACCACACAGACAGGCTCACTCCCCAGGGTGTCTGCATGGGAGGCTCCCTGCCTGGAATGAGCCTGCCCCAGACATCTTCATGGGTAATTGTTTGTGTCCTTCTCATCTTTCCTCCAAGGCCACCTTCCCATGAGGCCCATGCAGACCACCCGAACTCTAACAGGCCTCCTGCCCCTCCCAACACACCCCAATGCATTCCCTTCTCCACAGCACCTCCCACCTGCTCACTGGAACTCTTTCCTCACTGACTGTGGTCACAGGGCACAGTGTGTCCTTTTGCCACACAACATAGGCTCTGTGAGGCCGGCCATTTGGCCTGTGCTTGGTTCACTGACATACAGGTATACAACATGCTGCTACACTTCACAGATCTGCATTTTTAATTTTCATCCTCACCCAGGATTGTTGTTACTGATTTTACAGAGAAGAAAGCAGAGAGTGAAAGAGAGAGAGAAACACTGACTGGTTGACTCCCATACCCGCCCTGACCAGAAATTCAACACCAGCCGGGCATGTGCCCTTAACAGGGATTGAACCTGTAACCTTTGGTGTGTGGGCGACACTCCAGCTGAGCCCCGAAGCCAAGCTATTTGTTTTGAAATTGAAGTTATGATTTCCCAGCAGCAAAAGCATTACAACTCACTAAATGGTCAGATGATAGGTAACATTTTTATTAACAAAGTATATTTTAATAAAGGCATATACATTAGTTTTTAGACATAGTACAATTTAATAGACTTAGACAATTTAATAGATTTAGTAGACTACATATACCATAAGCCTAACATGATTAGCTCAGGGAAACCAAAACGTTTGTGTGACTTACTTTATTGTGATAGTTGCTTTACTGAGTTCATCTGGACACAAAACCAAAATATCTCCAAGGAATTTCTGGATTTCCAATGTAAAAATGGAAGGTCATTTACCCAGGACTCAAAAACCACTGGTTGAGTGATCCCTCATTGTACAATATCGTAGAAATAAATATACAAGGGAAACCTACATGATCCCATTAACCAATGCCAGCCCAATACGCTTAGTAAAAAACACAAACAAACCCTAATAAGTTAATTAAGAAAACAAAAATAGGCACAGTATCTACAAAAACAAAGAAACAACAAGCACCCAACACAGGCACTGAAGGCCAGACCCAGCAAGCCCTCACTGAGCACAGACCTGGAGCTATGACAAGGCCCAGGTGACGCTGACATCCCTGGGATCCCAGGTCCTGGTGGGACAAGGTTCTCCTGAAGCAACAAAAACAAAGGAACAAGGAGACCCAGCTGAGGAAAGACCAGGATGGGTTGGCAAAACCCCAACACTGCTAGCACAGGTCAGTCCCCAGGGAAGAGGACACAGGTCACCCTTTCCTTTTGGGGAGGGTGGTCATGTGACCAGCTCCTCCAATCAAGCTGATAAGGATGAAGGCACATTCTGATGCAGTTGCAGAAACAGCAGACAAGGATCCTTAAAGTCCCAAGGGGAGGCTGCAATGACTGTTTCAGCACCAAGTCCCCTACAAGGCAGTTCTGTCACACTGGGAAAGAAAGTTGTCATGAACAAACTCAGGTCAGTCTCAGAAGTGTCACATTCCCCCACAGCCACTGAATGCTCAGAATGTCCCACTCTGGGAGTCCCCAAAACCCAGCTGTGCCCTTGGTTCCAATGTCCCCCACTTCCTCCCCACAGGGTCTCACAGTTAGAAGTTGTGAGACACCCCAGAGCCCTGGGTGCTGTCACTGTCTGGGGAAGACACAACAGCAGTTACAGGGTGGGGGAGTCCCCCTTCACAGACCCCAGTCCACACTCTCCCAAGGGTCCCACACATCACCTCCTCAACACCCAGACTTACAGGCAGCCTGAGCATAGTTCTCCCTCTCTGTGCCTGTGGGAAGAAAATGTTCTGTGAGAAGTCAGGGGGAAGGCTGGCTCCTGTGACCGTAAAGGAACCCCACACTCCTGAAGCACAGGGAAGGTTCCAAAACTGTGCCTGAACACCCAGAGTAGGATCAGGAAACATGGGGAAGTACATGTGTGGGGACTGGACCAACCACCTGTTTGGACGCCTGTCCTCAGGAAGGACCATCCCCTCTGACCTGTGACAGCTGGGAATCAGTCCCCATTGCTAGAACCATCAGGTGATAAATGTGTCCCTTACTTTCCCACGGGCCTCACTAAAGAGTCAGTGCTAGGAAACAGGCCCCAGATGGACAAGTACCCATGTGGGGATACAATACCCATTAAGGAGGCAGAGCACACTTCCACCTGGGCTTGACCCCCAGGGGGACAGGAAACTCAGCCCCACCCCTTGCCCACCTGAGCACTTCCTCCTCCACAGCACAGCTCCAGTGACCACAGCTCCAAGGAGACCCAGGGCAGCAGCGATGCCCACGATGGCGATGGTGGTCTGAGGAGGGGGTTCTGTGAGGGGAAGGTGAGAGGCCAACCTCAGGCCTGTGTCCTGACTCTGCTCAGGGACACCCTGAGGAGAGGCTCTGTGCCCACACCCCCTCCTCACCCCATCTCAGGGTCAGGGGCTCAGGCAGCCCCTGGTGCTGCACATGGCACGTGTATCTCTGCTCCTCTCCAGGGGGCATGTCCACAGCTGCCCACTTCTGGAAGGTCCCATCCCCTGCAGGTCTGGTGTCCACAAGCTCCATGTCCTGGGTCAGGTCCTCCCCTTCACGCTGCCAGGTCAGGGTGATGTCCGAAGGGTAGAAGCCCAGGGCCCAGCACTTCAGGGTGACCTTATGGTCAGAGATGGGGTGGTGGGTCAAGTGTGTCTTTGGAGGGTCTGAGGGAGGGTGAGAAAAATCAGGAACTCTGCATGGTCATGGGACACTCCAGCAGTGCTGATGTGACCACCCTGAGAGTGGACAGGACAGCGGGGTGGGGGAAGGGAGAGCAACACCCAGACACCAGCCTGGACAGAGGCACTTGGGATCATCTCTTATTTCCTGGAAAGCTCCAGAATCAGAGTGAGAACCTAGGGTAGGAGTGTTCAGGTCTCTAAGAGGAAACACAGATTCAGGTGGAGGTTGAATGACTCAGAAAAGCAGTAGTAAGGCCTGCAGAAATGGTCTCATTCTGAGCACCAGGGAGAGCGTCCTGGTGCACCAGGTGAGGGAAACGCTGTGGGGTGTTTCAGGGACAGGCTGGGTCCATTATTGTCCTTTAGGGAAAGCTGGGCCGGTGGGTGAGTCACAGAATGACACCTGGGGGACTCTTCCATCTCCCGAGCAGAAGGGACATTCTGACACTGCCCCATTCTCCTCCTCTCCTTGTAGGAAGCCGCCCCAGACCACAGGTCCTCTCCGGGAGGCCCGAGCCCTGGTACCTGCTCGGAGCAGCGTCTCCTTCCCCTTCTCCAGGAACACGCGGAGCCAGCGCAGACAAGTGTTCTCCAGGTAGTCCCTCCAATCCTCCACAACATCTTGATGCAACAAATCGGTCAGTATGGTAATCTGGGTGGTCTTATTGGCTTCAGTGGTGGAAGTCAGGTCCAAGTTCATGGCGAAGGTTTCGGTGCCATCGTATGCGGTTTGACTGTACGCGCGGAGGAATCCCAGGTCCGATCCCACAACGCAACCAAAAGTAACCTGGAAGGTGTGAGACCCTGACCCCGCCCTAAAGTCAGCCCCTCGGACTTAGTCCTGCTGGAGTACAGAGGTAGCCCGCACCCAACCAGTCGAGACTCGACCCAGCTCGCGGGGGTTAAATGTAAAGTGAGTGAAAATAAAACTGAGTTAGGATCCCCGCGGGCTCCTCCTGGGATGGGCGCAAGGCGGATCGCGCAGCCCCGCGGGGAGCGTTCAGACCCACAGATTCCGGGAGACTCCTGCGGGTCAGTGGGGATCGGGGGTCGTGCCTGGTTCCAGGCGCTCGTGGCTCACCGTCCTCGCTGTGGTTGTAGTAGGCGCGCAGCTTGTTCAGTTTTGCTCGGGAAAACTGTGAGCAGTCCTTGCAGATCCGCGTCTGCTCCGCCCAAAAATCTGGGTCCTCCTGCTCCATCCACCGCTGCTCCTTCCACGGCATCCGCGGCTGTGCCTTTGGGCTCGGGGCGGCACTGTCGAACCATGTGACCTCCGTGTCGTCCACGTAGATGGCCACGATGTGCCGGAACTTCCCGTGTGGGGACACGGAGGTGCCGAAATGTCTCAGGGTGTGTGGGCCTGGCGACAGGGAGGACGGGCGTCTTGGGTATTTGGTGGGGCCGGTAGCGGCAGATGCCCGGGGAACAGCAAAGGATTCGGTGGTTAAGAAGAGGGGTGGGGGCGGGAGGAGGGAGAACAGAGAAGGGGGTCCGGGGTCCGGGGTCTGGGGACGAGCCCTCCGCGTCTCCGGGTCCTGAGCAGCCGCCGGGTCCCCTCCCTCCTGCCCGGCACAGGCGGTCCCTCCCGACCCCGCACTCACCCGCCCAGGTCTCGGTCACAGTCAGGGCCCCCGAGAGCAGCAGGAGCAGGGCTTGTGGTTCCATGATCCGGACCCCGAGCGTCTTCGGAGAAAGAACTCGGGTACTACCTGAGGACTTTATACTGGAATCCACGGTGACGCCGATTGGCTCCTGCAGAGTTGGGACATACAAACCAGAATCGCAGCAGAACGTCAGGAGTATCCAGGCAGAAGGACCTGTGAGAAGGAGAAGGGAAACCCGGGGAAGAAGGGCACACCCCAACACTGGGAGTTCCGCCCCAGACGCGGTCTTTGGTCTGAGATCCTGGGAGCCAGGCCTGGGGACCGGGGACTCTGCCCTGACCCCGCCTCCTGCACGGAGAGCTCTGTCCTGCTGTCTCCCTGAGTCCCGGCCCACGGGCTGTTTCATTCAGCGACTCTCAAATATTTTGGGTTTAGGACATCTATAGTCTTACAAACTACAGCGAATCCCCCAAGTAAGTTTGTTTATGAGGGTTATAGCTATCAATATTTACCCTGCAAGGAATAAAGCAGTTTGAAAAAATTAATTCATTTTGAATAATATTAATAACCAATATGTTAAGAGAAATAATGTTTTTATGAAAAATAAATATTCCAGAAATGAATGCGATAGTACACAGTGTGGATCTCCTTACATTTGACTTTTGCAAGTTTCAGTGCTTGTCTGTAAAATTAGCAATCGGCTGGAATTTCATATTTGCTTCTGTGTTTAATCTGTTATTTGGTTGCAGTATATGAAGACATATACAGCCTCACACAGATATGTAGGAGGAGCATTTTAAATTACTTTTTCAGACAAGTGTGGATATTCATCTTGGATAGTTCACTAAAGCTACACAAGTGGTAGTTCCTGAAAAGCTCTTTGCAAAGTGGAACCTGAAACAAATCCATTGAGTATTTCCTGTTCTGTTACATTACTTCAGTGGCTCTTGTACTGATGCAGGATTATTGAAAAATAATGCATCGTTTCACTAAGTGATAGAGATCTCCCAGTGTTGATGCATTTAATAACACATCATAAAAAATCACATTTGTTGCCGTGGCTGGCATAGCTCAGTGGATTGAGCGCGGGCTGCGAACCAAAGTGTCGCAGGTTCAATTCCCAGTAGGGCACATGCCTGGGTTGCAGGCCACCGCCCCCAGCAACCACACATTGATGTTTCTCTTTCTCTCTCTTTCTCCCTCCCTTCCCTCTCTAAAAATAAATAAATAAAATCTTTTTAAAAAATCACATTTGTTAACGTTACCACAGATCCCACTGGAAACGGTTGTCAGCTCTGGGAAGCTGTCTGGCTGCTGTGGTGAGACACATGTTTGCCAGAACCCTGGTTTTCCTCTGAGGGCTTCCATTCCATCCAGACAACAAGTGCTGTCAGGTGTCAATTGCCCACTGACTTTCCTTGAGGGAGAAGCTCATGTTCATTTGAGAGAGTGTTCGCCAGTTCACTACACCTCAGTCATCACAGGTTCTGTGTCTCTCCTTCTCTTAAGTGAACTTGATGTTCTGTGAAGAAGAGGCTGACTCAGCCCTCACAGGTCACTTTCCTGGGCTCATGGCACTTGGGAATGTGGCAGAAGTTTGTTTGTGCACTTTCCCGGTCATCATAGGAGATATTTTATATTTTATTCTCTATTTTCATTAACGACTGTTAAGAAATTAATCCATTTGTATAATGAATTTGATATATATATTCTTTTTAATATTTTTCATCTTTCAATTACAGTCAATGTATAATATTATATTAGTTTGAGGTATACAACTATGTGATTAGACATTTATATAACTTACAAAGTGATCCCCCCAAGAAATCCAGTACTCACCTGACACCATATGTAGTTATTACAATATTATTGACTATATTCCCTGTGCTGTACTTTACATCCCCTTGACTATTCTGTAATGACCAGTGTGTACTTCTTAATAATCCCTTCAAGTTTTCACCCATCCCACTAAATCCCCTCCCATCTGGCTACCTTCAGTCTGTTCCTTGTGTCTATGAGTCTGTTTCTGCTCAGCTTGATTGTTTTATTTATTTTATTTTTTAAATATTTTATTTATTTATTTTCAGACAGAGGGGAAGAGAGAGAAACATCAATGTGTGGTTGCCTTTCCCTTGCCCCCTACTGGGGACCTGGCCCGCAACCCAGGCATGTGCCCTGACTGGGAATTGATCCAGTGACCCTTTTGTTTGCAGCTGGTGCTCAACCCACTGAACCATACCAGTCAGAGCTGATTACTTTATTTTTCTGATTCCACATATAAGCACAAAGATCTGGCATTTGTCTTCCTCTGTCTGACTTATTTCACTCAGCACCATACCCTCCATCCATGTTGTTGCTAATGGAGAGATTTCATTGTTTTTGTGTGTGTGGCTGAGTCAGATTTTGTTGTGCATGTGCACCACTTCTTTATCTCACCATCTGTGGATGGACACTTATGTTGCCTTTAGTAAATAATGTTGCAATGAGCATATGGATATGTACACTTATCCTTTTGATTTCATGTTTTGGTTTCAGATAAATACCCAGAAGTGGAATGTCCGGGTCCTTCTTTGTCTCTTGTTATATCACCTTTGTTTTAAAGCCTGGTATAGACCTTATAGATTTTTTCTGGTACAAGTATTGTTACCCCAGCTTTTTTTGGTTTATTTGTTTCAATTTTCATCCCTGTGCTTTCAGTCAGTGTGTCTTTGGATCTGAATTGAGTCTCTTATAGACAGCTTATGTAAAGGTCTTGTTCTCTCATCTATTCAGCCACCATATCTTTTGGTTGGAGCAATTAATTCATTTTCATTTAAAGGAATTTTTGATAGATATGTGTTTATGGCCATTTCATTATTTATATATTTTTGCTTTCCTTCTTCTTAAAGAACACACTTTGACATTTCCTATATTACTGGTTTGCTGGTGATAAACTACTTTAGCTTTTTCTTGTATGGGAAGCTCTTTATCTGAACTTTAATTCTAAATGATAGCCTTGCTGGGTGGTGTAGAATTGGAGTAGGTCCTTGGTTTTTATCACTTTGAATATTAGTTGCCAATCTCCTTTGGCATGAAAAGTTTTTCTTGAGAAATCAGGTGATAGTCTTATGGGAGCTCCCTTGTAGGTAGCTTGATGTTTTTTAAAATTCTCTCTTTGTCTTTAATCTCTGGCATTTTGATTATGATGTGTCTTGGGTACAGATCTTTTTGTGTTCATCTTGTTTGGGACCCTGCGTTTTCTGGACTGATATATCTACTTCTTTCACCAGATTAGGGATGTTTTCTATAATCATTTTTTAAAATAGGGGTTCAAATCCTTGATCTCTCTTTTCTTTTTCTGGCATCCCCATGATGCAAATGTTGGTATACTTGACGTTGTCCCATAGGTCCTCATACTATCTTCATTTCTAAGATTCTTTTTGGTTGGTTATTTATTTATTTATTTATTTACTTATTTATTTTTTGCTGTTCTGATTGGGTGTTTTCTGCTTACTTACCTTCCTAATCTCTGATTTGATCCTGTGCTTCATATACTTCACTGTTGATTCCTTATAATGTATTCTTCATTTCAGTTTTGAATTCTTTATTTATGAGTGTTTTCCTTATGTTTTCTTTCTCCATTTTTATGTTTCTTATATGAACTTTGTTAACATTCACACTGAGTTCAACTCTTCTCCTTAGTTCATTGAACATTTTTATAACTAGTGCTTTGAACTCTATCTATTAGATTGCTGGCCTACAGTTTGTTTACTTCTTTTTCTGGAATTTGTTCTATTCTTTCATTTTGGCCATCTCCTCATTTTGGTTGTCTTCCCATGTTTGTTTCTATGTATTAGGTGGAAACACTATGTCTCCTTGTCTTGGTAGAGTGTCCTCATGCAGTAGGTGTCATGTAGGGCCCAGTGGTGCAGCTTCCCTGGACACTTCAGGTGCACCCCCCAATTTGGTTGTGTGCACTCTCCTATTGTAGCTGAGTCAGGATTGCTGTTAGCAATGGGAAGTATTTACCCGCAAGCAGATCTGCTGGGATGACTGGCTGTGACCACTAGAGGCTCTGGTACCCACTGAGCCCACCCCTTGAATGTGTTGCTGTGGAGATGATTGGGTGATACTTTGTTTTGATTGGAAGCTGTCCACAGGTGTGATGGCTCTGGGGACTCATGGATGGTGCAAGCCAAGATCAGCCACCATGTGTGTCCTGCCCAGAGCTATCTGACATGAGCTACAAAGCAATCTGCACATGGATGCTACTTTTGCTGGGCTTGGAGTGCCTGAGAAAGGCCAAGCTGCAAACCCAAGCTGGTTAGTTTTGGGCATGGGGACATTTTTTAGGAAAGTCTACAGCTTCAGCCAGGCAAGCTGTTTATATGGAAAAGTCACTGGAAAGGGCTTTAGTAGGCCTGCAAGTTGGGTGAGGCAGGGTTTCAGGGCATCACCAGAGTGGTTTGAATAGTGTTAGACAGGTAGATGAAACTCAGATATAGTATACACCTACCAGCTCTGTGAGGGAGGGATCGTCAAAGGAACAATGACCTCTGTCAGCTCTTCTGTCTGAGAAAATCTACCCACCCCCACATTTCTTGCCCCCATACCAGGCAATTCAGTTCCTCTCCATATGTTCCTTGTTCCTCTTGAGTTGCTGTCCCAGGGCTGGAGCTCAGAGAGAGTGAATGTGAGTAAGTCCATGTGCTGGCCCTTTAAAAGGAATGCCTTGGACCCCAGAAGCACTTTGTCTGACTAGCCTCAATCTCCACTGATTTTTACAACCAAAGTTGTAGATGCCTGTCTTCCTTTTACTGGAACCCTGGTCTGGGGGTGCCTAGTGTGAGGGTGGGATACCTCTCTCCTCAGGGTGGACCTCGACAAGTGAGATATCTCTCCCAATTTTTATCTGCCACATGTGAGTGTGGGACCTGTCCAATCGCATCTCCACCCCTCCTACCAATCTCCATGTGGCTTCTTTAATTCACTAATTGTAGGAGTTCCATTCAGTTATATTTCAGGGGTTCTGAGTGATGGTTGTTTGTAGCATAGTTGTAATTTTGATGTGGTCATTGGGTGATGAGAATACCACATTTGCCTACAGAGACATATTACCAAAAAACCAAGGTATTTTTAAAATGTCGATTT